TAAGGTAGCTAGAAGATGGAGATCACTGCCTAATCTGAAACTTACCCATCCATGCTAGTCTGTAATGCTTACGAAGTATGATTAAAAACCAAAGATGTCTCCAAAGTGGTTTGGTATTGGATTCAGAATACCTCTAATTCACTTTGCAGTTCAGATCACGCCTTTAAAAGGTGTCTTTGTTGGCTGTGGACTATAGCATGGACAGCCAAATGCTGGTCATTGGTCTTCCCTTGCTGTGTATCAAATTAGCACCAACTTAGCAACCAACACAATGTATTACCTTACAGTTTCAGTGGGTCTGGATTCAGGCCTCATCTTTCTCAGGATTCTTTGCTCGGAATCTCATCAAGCTGTACCCAAAATGTCTGTCACAATGTGGTTCTCCTCTGGAGCTTCTGGTCCTCTCTCAAGCTCCTTCAGGTCACTGGCAGAATTCAGTTCCTTGTGGTTCTGGAACTATCTTATTGCTGGATATTGTCCAGGGGTTACTTTCTACTCCTAATGGCCACCTCAAATCCTAGCCACATGGTCAGCTCACAATATGGCAGCTTGTCTTCAAAGCCAGCTGGAGGAAACTCTCCTCAGTGTACATGTCATATAATCAAGGCAGTGATCATCCACCACCTTCTCATCTAGTGGAACCTATGCAAGAGAATGACAATCCTGTCATATTCACTGGTCTCTTCTGCACTTGCTAGAAAGGGGTCATATAGGGCATGACTATTAGAAGACAGGAATCTTGGGGGGACATCTTAGAATTCTGCCTACCATAGCTATTATGATTTGTGTCTCCTATAGCTTTGAGGTGTCTGTGCAGTTAAATGGAGTCTAGCCATCTTGTTTGTATGATGCTATTTTGAAATACTATTAAAATCCTAAACTTGGGCCAACTTAATCACCATAGCCTGGTGATTAAGACAGTCGTATCCCACATGGCCCACCATATGGCTCAAATCCCAGACTTGGTGGGGACATGCGCATGCGTGCTCAGAATCCCGAAAGAAAGGAGACATGGAGAAGGCATGATCATTCCCACGAGGGGCACTTTCTCCTCTCCCTTTCTCTCTCTCCTTCTGTCTCTCCAGAGAGTGCAAATGTACTCTAGCAAACAAACAAAATCTTGAACTTGATTGCCAGTTTTTACTGTCTTTGCCACAGTTTATTGTCTTTGTTAAAGGCTCCATTTGGATCTCAAAAGTAAACATTTTTAGAATTAAGGTGTCAGGATGCAAAAATCTAGCCAATTTTTTAAAAGAAGTATTTATTTATTTATTTAATTCCACTTGTTATTATTTTTTAATTTGACCAGAGAGAAAGGAAAAGTGAGAAAGCAAGCCACCAGGTCCAGGACTCAAACTGCAGTCGGCCATGTGGGAGTCCAGCATCTCAACCACTTCACCACCTGCCAGCCCCACCTGGCATGATTTTCCATAGGGCAGGCACCACCACACCTAGCATGATTTTCAGGCCTCCAGGTCCAAGACTCGAATCGCGAGTGGCCATGTGGAAATCTAGTGCCTTAACCACACTATGCTACCTGCTGGCCCCATGCTCTAACTTTTTTTGGAGAGAGATTTTTGCTATAGGGTGCATGTGCTCACTGAAGAGAGAGAGACAAAGAGACAGAAATGAGAAATCACCCCCAGGGAGCTTGGCCACACCACAATCCCTTCTCCATTCCCCTCTCGAACATTTAGGCACTCACACACATGCACCTGATGTGAGTTTTAGGCTGCTTGGCCCAGGACTGAAACCGTGGTAGACTAAGCAGGAGTTAAGTGACATAACCATTATGCAATCTGCTGATTCCATTTTTTAAAACAGGATTACTCTAGCTACTCACTGCAGTAGCTAGAGTAACAAGGGGCAAGGGAAGGAAAAAAGACTACTTTAGGAGCCGAGTCAGGTGGCATGCTTAAGGTGACTGGATCCCGTGTAGCTGACTATGTTGTTCCAGGACTTGGCAGCTTAAAAAACACTCCAGCATAGTGGTAAAATTGCTGGACTCCCACATGAATGACTGTGGTTAGAGTCCCAGACTGGGTGACTTGCAAATCACACCAGGAGAATGGAGGAGAAGGGATTACAGCATGGCTATCCCTCCTAGGGGGTGATTTCTTGCTTTCTGTCTCTCTGGGCATGCCTTATAGCAAAATTCTCTCAAAAAAAAAAAAAAAAAGAAAGAAAGAAAGGAAGGAAAACCACACTTGAGTGTGTGTGCATGCATGCCCAAGATCCCAGGAAGAGAATGGAGGAGAATAGAAGAGAAGGGACTGTGGCATGGCCATCCCCCTGGGGGTGATTTCTCACTTTCTTTCTCTGTCTCTCTTTCTCCAGTGAGTGCACACATCCTTTGGCAAAAACATCTAAAAAAAAAAAAGAGGTGCGTGTGTGTGTCTATGTGTGTGCCCACGCCCAAAATCCCAAGAGGAGAATGAAAGAGAAGGGATTGTGGCATGGTCTTCCTTCCTGGTGTTGTATGCTTTCTTACTTCCTGTCTCTGGAAGTTTCTCTCTCTGTTTCTCTCTCTCTCTCTCTCTCTCCCCCTCTCTCCCTCTCTCCCTTTCTCCCTCCCTCCCTCTCCAGTGAGTGCATGTACTCTATAGGAAATTTAAAAACAAAACAAAACACTTAGAGGTTCTTCACATAGGCAAGAGATATGATGGTACTATAAACCAGAGAAGTAGCTACAGTGAAGGTGATTAGAAATGGTTGGGTTCTGTGTACATTTTGAAGGTAAATTAATATTTAATTCCATTTGTTACTATTTTATTTACATTTTTATTTCATTTTCTTTTATACATTTAATCACATTATTTAGCTTACAAAGTGAATATTTCAACATGTGAACATTTCTCCCTAGTCCAGTTGATTGTTGGTATTAATTTTATTTTTGAGAGGTTTTTGCTATAGGGTGCATGCACTCGCCAGAAAGACAGACAGAGACAGAGAGACAGAAAGAGAGAAATCACCCCCTGGGGAGATGGCCACGCTGCAATCCCTTCTCCTCTCAGGATCTTGGGCACACATGCACACACGCCCCACGTGAGTTTAAGCCACCAAGTCCAGGACTCGAACCGTGGTCGACTATATGGGAGTCCAGCAAAATAGACAGTACGCCAACTGCTGGTCCTGATTGTTACTATTAATTTTTAATTTGACCTGACAGAGAGAGAGAGAGAAAGGGAAAGTGAGAAAACAAGCCACCAGATCCAGGACTCAAACCGTGATCAGCCACATGGAAATAGAGCACCTTTAACCACGCCACCTGCTAGCCCTATAAGTCCCTTGTTTCAAAACCCTCATAAATAAATAAGTAAAGCTCAGAAGGCGTTGGAGGGGACACTTCTCATACAGATAAGATAAGCATCATCACAACAACTCTCTAGAACAATAACCTTACAGAAAAACCACTGGGACATTACACAAAAAATACTTCTACAAGGATACCTGTACAGAAACTGCCTGTCCAGCTCTGGATTAACGTCACCCTTGTTGATCCTGGTAGCCAAGGACAAATGTCAAAAAATAACTTATGTAATCCCTCATTTTTCTTTTAAAAATCCTTATCTTGAGGGCCAGCAGGTGGCATAATGGCTAAGGGGATAGAGTCCCATGTGGCTGACCACAGTTCAAGTCTGGACCCCGCAGCTTGAAAACCATGCTGGGCACATGTATGTGAGTGCCCAAAATCCCAAGAGCATCGAGGAGAAGGGCCCCCCCCGGGGGGGGGGGGGGGTTCTCACTTTCCCTCTTTTTCTGGCAAATGCACTTACCCTGTAGCAAAAACTATGACAGACAAAAAAAAACCTTTCTCTTCCCTTACTCCCTGAATATGTTCATAATGTTCATAGTTTGTTGGTTTTGTTTTGTTTTGTTTTGTTTTGTTGCTATAGGGCTTACTGGAGAACAAGACAGAAAAAGGGAAAGTGAGAAAGCACCCCCTAGAGGGTGGGGGAAGGCCACATTGCAATCTCTTTTCCATTCTTCTCTAGAGATTTTAGGCATGCACAAACGCTCGCCTCGTGTGTTTCTCAAGCCAGGTTGAGACTCAAATCACACAGCTGGCAATCCTTGTGAGATCCAGCTGCCTTAACCTCTGCACCATCTACTGGCCCTGTCCACAGTTTATTATAGCAAATGTATTCCCCATTGCAGTGCCTATTCCCTCTGCCTGGTATCTAGGGGCTGAAAGATTCAATAAATATATTTAAAAAATAAAAAAGGATGTAACTTTTCAAGAGACAGATTACAAAGAAAAAGGTCAGAAATAACTAGTGAACAAAGGAAAGAATGGTAAACGAGATCCATGGTTTTGTTTGTTTGTTTGTTTGTTTGTTTGTTTATGAAAAAAGACCTGGTGGCATGAGCCACTAAGATAGGCTGGGACTACAGGTGACCTGGGATCCATTCCCAGTCCAATCTAAAGGCCAAGAGTGTTGGCATGTATTTATAATCCCAGAGACTTTGGAGACTGAGACAGGAAAATCATGAGATCAAGGCTGACCTGGGCAAGATAGTAAGACCCTACCTGAAAAAGAGATGGGCATGGTGGCCTGCATATAGATCCAGCTGGAAGGCTGAGGCAGGAGAATCATGACAGGGAGACTCTATCTAAAAAGAAAGGGAGGGAACAGGTGCCAGCAGGTGGCATTGTGGTTGAGACAGCTGGACCTCACATGGTTGACTGCCGTTTGAGTCTCAAACCCAGAGGCTTGAAAAATACACCAGCATGTGCGCATGTATGCCCAAAATCTGTGCTTTCTCACTTTCCCTCTCTGTCTCTCTGTCTCTCTCCAGCAAGCATATGTGCCCTATAGCAAAAGAAATAAAGGTATTGGTTAATTTGCAGAATCAATGAGAGAGATGGAGACCCAGATATGAAAAACAGAAAACCTAGAGAAAAACTCAAGCAGAAAGCATGGCAAGAGTCACCTATATAAATAGGATGACTTTATAAATAGTAAAATATAATTAATTAATTTTATTATTTTTTTAAGGCAGCCGAGTAGACTGTCCTGACAGTGGGCCAAGACAACTCCATCCATACTGTCATTTGAAACATACTAACATCTGCTCTACGCCAAGCCCGTGCCACAATGGGAACAAAGCTTAAACAAGACCAGGTTTCAGTCATCAAGGAGGTCGGGAAGAAAATAAACATTTAAATACACGATTACAACAGAGTTAAATAATCTCAGCTCTGGGACCAGCAGTTGGCGTGGTGTTTAAGGTTGGACACTCCCATATGGCTGACCACCATTCAAGTCCTGGACCTGGCGGCTTCCTTTCTCACTTTCCGTCTTTCTTTCTGTGTCTCTCTCTGATCAAGCTAAAAATAAATGAATGAATAAATCAAAATAAATAAATAATTAAAAAAAATAATCACAGCTCAAGAAGGCAGCCTAACATGGGGCTAAACTGTGCATTTGTGCAAGATAGAAAAAGGCACCCTCTCTGAGTAGATGTAGTGCCAGGATAGACATCTTGGCAAGATGAGTACAGGTGGGTTTCAGCTCTCTCTGGATTCCTCAGCCTGGCACTTCTGAGCAGAGCACAACATGCATGTCTAAACACAGCCTGCTTACTTTAAAAGGAAGAGAGTGGCCCCTGTGGAAGGAGGGTAGCAGCATCTTATGAGGATGTGTGCCTGTGCAGCAAGAAAATCTGGAAACCCAGCCTCCTAGCCCCAAACTTTACAAGAAACCTCAGTGGATGCACTTGCTTCTGGTGCTACCTGTGACAGAGTTGGCAAAGAAAACTGGGAAGTTGGGAAAGGTTCCTTTGGTAGGAAAAATTGACAGACGGTGTTTACAGCTTTGCTTTGGTTCTCCTATCAGAGTGGGTGCCAGATGTTTTCTAGTTTCCAAGATAGTGTGTTAACTCTGTAAGACGCTTTTCCCCTAAAGATAATGTCATGTCATTATACACAGTTAAGTGTGAGCACGTGGAAAAGTGGATCCTATGCCAGGTCAGCAAAGTTTGATTTGCTGCTGTGTGAATGCAAGGTTTGGAGTTACCATCCTACTCCTTGTAAGTCATGTAAATTGTATAATTAGTGTTCAGAAATAAAGGATTGGGGCCAGCAGGTGGCATAGTGGTTGGGGGCACTGGATTCCCACATGGCCGACCATAGTTCAAGTTCTGGACGTAGCAGCTTGCTTTCTCACTTTCTCTTTCTCTGGTCAAATTAAATAACAATAATAGTAAATGGAATTCAATAAATAAATAATTAATTATTTTTAAAAAGATAAATAAAGGATTGGGTGGATAATCCACATGAGAAAATGTTATGTAGCCATTTAAATGGATATTATAGGGCCTGCCCCATGGCCTGGTGGTTAAGGGAGGCAGATCACACATGGCCAACAGCATGGTTCAGATCTTGGACCTAGTGGGTTGAAAAATATGCCAGGTGCATGTACATGCATACCCCAAAAGCCATACAGGATGGAGAAATGGAGAAGAAGGGATTTCAGCCTGACCATGCCCCATTGGAGAGTGCTTTCTCCCTTTTCCTCTATCTCTGGCAAGTACACATCCCCTTTGGCAAATTTAAAAGAAAAATAGAGTATTGTAAAATACAAAATTATAGGGCCAGCTGATGGCACGGTGGTTGAGACTGGAACCCACATGCAGTGTGAGATTGCACAGTTTGAGTCCCAGACCCAGCAGTTAGAAAAACACTCAAGGAAGAGAGGAGATTGTGGTGTGGTCATCCTCACTGGAGGATGTTTTCTTACTTTCTCTCTCTCTCTAGCGGGCACATGCACCCCATAGCAAAAACCTAAAAATAAATAAATAAGCTGGGGGAGGAAGGGTAATATGGGTATATTATTTTTTTCCTGTAAATCTAAAACTGTTCTAAAAAATAAAGTCTGAAATAAAAGGATATGGGGTCCAGCAAGTGCTGTGTTGGTTAAGGCGGCCGGACCCCATATGTATAACGGTGTAGTTTGAGTCCCAGACCTCAGGGCTTGGAAAAAAACATCAGGACACATGTGTATGCATGTTAAAAATTCCAAGAGGAGAATGGAAGAGAAGGGATTGCTCCATAGCCATCTCTCCTGAAGAGCGATTTCTCGCTTTCCCTCTCATTGTCTCTCTCCAGCCATTGTACATGCCCTATGACAAAAACTTTAAAAAAAAAGAAAGAGAGAAAGAAAAAGAAAGAAAAAGAAAAAAGAAAGAAAAGAAAAAAGTAAAAGAAAGAAAAAGCAGGGCCGGCAGGTGGTGGTGTGGTTAAGGGTGATGGACTCCCACATGGCCAACCATGGTTCAAGCCATAGACCTGGTGGCTTGCTTTCTCACTTTCCCTCTCTCTCTCTCTCTCTCACTCTGTCCCTCTCTGGTCAAATTAAAACAACCAAATAAATAAAGTTAAATAAAATAATTCTTAAAAATAAGAAAAAGAAAAATTAGAACTACTAACAATACAGGAAAACTTAAAAAAGCTTATGAAAAATGTAATTAAAGTCCAAGTTTTGAGGCTAACAGGTAGCACTGTAGTTGGGGCACTGGACTCCCACATGGATTAACCATAGTTCGAGTTCTGGACCTGGCAGCCTCCTTTCTCAAAACAACAATAATAATAATAACAAATAAAATTAAATATTTTTTAAAATAATAAAGCGCAAGTTTATTTTGGTGTAAAAATATTTTGAAATCCATGTAGTTTTCCATAATATGCATTTTTCCATGAACTTTTTTTTTGGAGAGGTTTTTGCTATAGGGCATGTGCACTCGCCAGAAGGACACAGAGAGACAGAAAGGGAGAAATCACCCACCGGGGGGATGGCCACACTGCAATCCCTTCTCCTCCATTCTCCTCTCGGGATCTTGGGCAGGCACACACACACGCTCAGCATGAGTTTAAGCCACCGGGTCCAGGGCTCAAACTACAGTTAACTACATGGGAGTCCAACGACATAGCCATTATGCCAACTGCTGGTCCCACCATGAACTTTTTTTTAATTGCCAGAGAACATGTGCACTTGCCAGAGAGAGAGAGAAAGCACTCTCTGACAGGATATGGTCACCCTTTTCCCCCCATCCCATCAGGATTTGGTGAATATACACATATGACATTGTGTGTTTGTCAAGCCATGGGGCCAGGACTCAACCTACAGTTGGCCATGTATGATCTAGCTCCCCATGTACAGTACCTAACCATTGCACTATTGGTCAGCCCTTTTCCTGAACTTATTTTAAGTTCCCTCATATAATTTTGAATTTGAAATACTGAAAGAACATACACCAAAATATTAACTGTGCTTAATTCTTGGTGGAAAGATTTTTGGGTGTTGGGAATCAGCAGGAGGCATGGTGGTTAAGGTGTTAGACTCCTACATGGCCTACTGCAGTTCAAGTCCAACACCTGGCAACTTACTTTCTCACTTTCCCTCTCACTCTCTGGTGAGCACACATGCCTTATAGCAAATTTATATTAAATAAATAAGTAATTTTTAAAATGAATGTTTTGGATGATTTATATTTTCCTCACTTATGTTTCTTCTTTCCTTTTTAAAAATGGCATTATGGTTACGTCACTGGACTCCAATGTCGTCCACTGAGGTTGGAGTTCCGGACCCTGTAACTTAAAATTCATGCAGGGTGCATGTGCGTATGTGTCCAAAATCTAAGAGGAGAATGGAGGAGAAGGGATTGTGGCGTGGCCGTCCCCCTTGAGGGGAAATTTCTTGCTTTCTGTCTCTCTGTCTCTCCAGTGACCATATGTGCCCTATAGCAAAAATCTCTCTCTAAAATTTTTTTTTAATTTTAAAATGTATTTATTTATTTCATGAGCAAAAAAGAGACAGAGACAGAGATGAGTGGCAGTACCCCCAACAGGTTCTTTTTTTTTTTTTTTTTAAGATAGATTTTTGCTCTAGGGTGTGTATGCTTGCTGGAGAGACAGAGAGACAGAAAGCGAGAAGTCACCCCTCACGGGGGATGGCTATGCCACAATTCCTTCTCCTCCAGTCTCCTCTAGGGATTTTGGGCATGCATGCATGTGTGTCCTGTGTAAGTTTTTCAACTGGTGGGGCCATGACTTGAAACCCAGTCAACTACGTGAGAGTGCAATGATGTGACCATTACACCATCTGCTGGTCCTCCCAACAGGATCTCGACATTGCAATCTACCCCCAGCTTCAGCCAACTGTGAATTATGAGCACATGCTGTCCTCGTGTACTCAGAGGTCTTTGGATGCAAACCTGTAACCTTCACATCAAGTCAACTTTGTAGGACATCATATTTTACCATTGCTCCACATGCTTGTGTTTTCTTAAAGACATTTATGGTTTTTTTTTTTTCATTTTTAGATTTTTGCCATAGGACATGTGTGTTCGCTAGAGAGATATGGAGAGACTTTTTTTTTTTAGTTACATGAAACGCATGAATTCTTTTTTATTGCAAATAACTCAAACAATAGAAAGTATATTTGGGGGATGCTGTGGTGTGCCCTTCAGATCTCTGCTCTTCAGAACTGAAGCCTTCACTCCCACAGCTGCTGGGAGTGTTGATGGCTGTCAGCTATCAGTTAAGCACCCCACATAACCTTAGCTAAGAACAGCTGCCTCATTTACAGTCATGCCCTCTACCCAAGGGCAGCTCACACTCAAAGACTGATTGGTGCAGGGATATAATGGCTCAGTTACCTTGGCTCCCAATTGGGGACAATTTTTCAGGGCCATCTTAGCTCCAATGCTCTGCACAGAATTAACTGAGACTTTGTTGTGAATGCATTACAGCCTGATTTCTCCGTCTGCCCAATCCTGCTTCTTTTATTCTCCCACTGAGGTTGATCCTGAGAGCACTGTCTAATTAACTTTCTGGATTAAAATCTCTTGTATGTTTCTTGGAGAACTCACTTTACAATAATAGGTGCCAGGAGTGATCCAGGAACGCAAACTAAAATGATGTTTGGGAGTCAGATCACTCACTAGCCTGTTAGCAAGGAGGATGCTCTCACTAGTGGCAAGTGGAGCATTGTTAGCCCCTGGCATGTGATAGTAATGCAGTTGTTACATTTTTTTTTGCCAGTGGTAAATTGAAATGTTTTACCCCACAAAAGCAAGACACGGGTGTGGAGAAGCACAATATATTCAGGAACTTGGGAAGTAATATGATGTTTGTTGTTGTAGGTAATGAGTCCTTTGGAGAAAGACAATTGTAAAAGTCAAAGAGCTCTCCTGGCAGTATGAAAAGATCATCTCCTGCATCCAGAGCACAGAAAAACCTGATTACCAGACCTATGACTTAAAAGACTTGCAGAGCTACAGAGAGGGTTGAATTTTCAGTCCT